AGAGTCGTAGATTGTGGCGCTCTGAATGTGGGTGGAGTTGAGGAGCTCGATGCGGCCAGGAGTCTGGCTGTCTGCTCTGTGTCGAGGCTGAAGCGTCTTATGAGGGGTAAAAACTGGAAACGTCGAATATTACATTCTTGTTTGTTAATGTTGAAGGTGTGTGGTATATCTCAAGCATGTGTACTGAAACACTCTTGAAATTGGACTGATGATGATTCACTTATCAATTACTTATATAATCGGACCACACCTCACCTCCCCATCCACTATTAGGTTAGAAAGTATAGCAATGTTAACTGTAATTAGGGAAGAGATGAATTTGTCATTAGTGGACTACATAGAATTAACAAGACCCATCTCATTATCTGGACAAAAGCTAATAAGAGAATGGACTAAGTATATGATTGACATAATATACTGCTACAAGTTAGTGATTGATTTCAAGTTTTAACACAAAAAATGCTCAAAGTGTTCTTTGTTATATTTTAATGTTATCTCCATTGTGTTCCTGGATTTTTCATGTACAGGAGTTTTATTTTATACCAGGTGACTCCTTTTTTTTATACCACAAATTAGGACGTAAATGTAGCATCTTTTTAGTAATTTTAAGCAAATATCTTAAGATTGTTAAATACCTCTGCATTTGAAGTGAGCAACAGAACAAAAACCTAACACATGATGGAAGCTCATCATTGTTTAATTATCAGTTGCCACTCAAAACTCTTGTGCCAATATAGAAGTACTATTATAATACCATCATTAAGCCACTGTTTTTGACAGCTTTCAAGCCCATATTCATATTGCCTGTTAATGTGAATACAAAATGTATTAAATTTGTCCATTTTTACTTAGCATGAATTAAAATACCTAATACAGGTAAATTAAAATATTGGCTTGAAATGAGTCAAAAAGAGCTTGGTGGTACACATTAACTGCTCTTTCCATCATTAATTTAAGAATTATGATCAATGCATAACATTACATTTTGTAAATATTTTGTAATGTTTTGGGAATTTAATCGGGAATTTGTTTCTTTGCTGAACAAGCTTTTGCATTAAATCTCTCCACAAATTTGATGAGTAAATAATGCCATAAATATTGTAAGATATATTTACTATTTTTGTATCTACATGTTTGGTATTAATAAATAGGGGCCATAATATGTTCACTGCCAGTTTTTTAATTTTTCTATTAGTTTTAATCTAAAAATTGTCTTGGTGAATTTTATGGTGTGATTTAAATTAATTTGAAAACTTGCATCATTGAAGTTAAAGATAATGTTAGGTTCTTGAAGCTCTTGTGCCGACAGAGTACTGTACTGTATTGCACTAAGCACATTGATATTGATTCCTCAAAATATTGATTGTATGTTGTTAGTGCTGCACGCAAAAGTCTCACCAAGAAACTGCAATCAATGTTTACACACAGAAATCACAATAGCGTGATGCATCAAATGAACAAATCCACAAGGGCCAAGTGAATTCAATAGAATTTCTGGTTGTAATTCTCATACCATGTCGTAGTTCAGTCGACTAAGGCAGCGTCTGGGATGCTCTCGGACGTAGGTTCGAATCCTCGTCACGGCCTTTATGGATTTGTTCATTTACAAGCAATGTTTAACAGTTGTATCAAGGTCTTAGTGTTAAAATTGAGGAAAACCATTTTCAGAGTGGTTTACACAGTACAGTAATTGTAACATCATGTCAGAATTTTTAATGCAGTGTTGTGTTTTAATTGTTTGTTATGAGTGCAGCAAAATATAAATGTTCATATAACATAACACCCACACGTGTGGGGTCCGCTGTTCGATACCCATACAGCCCAGGTGAATGGAATATAAATTTTCATATTTATGGTTCAGCTTATTGTTTCCTAATCAGGTGACTGGAGCATCGTTTAGTCTCGTGTAGAACATTAACCCTCCTAAGCTAAATGTAATGTAATCTTTAACTTGTATGGTTCTCATGAGTGTGGATATATGGTGGCATAATGTATGAAATTAGGCAAGCAAACATAATGGCAACTGTCTAGTTGAGCTGTCAATAATGTTTGTAGTTATTACACTTGCAAAAAGTTTATGCTCGTGCAATATAGATAGCTTGCGTGACAATTGATTTGCCAAGTGAAGTATTTAAAATTTTATGTAAGACCTGTCATGATCTTGGCAAAGAAATCTGCACCAACAATCGTAACACCATTAAATGTGTTAAGTCTGTGCTTTGTTATTCAGTACAGTATACAACTAATAGTGCACGTTTCACTTTCTTTTTATAATTTAACATCTTATTTTGTAATAATTTCATATAAAATATGCTGCTGTTTGATTAGTTTTGATGACATAAGTCTACATTAACCATCATTTAAAGATTCTCTTAACTCTTGTTAAACATTTCAACTGCAGTCATACAGGATATCAAAAGTACTGTATTGCTGCAGCTGCTATAGTGTCCTGGTGCTTGATTGTCTGTGATGCTATGTAGTGTGAATGATACAATGAATGGACATATGATTTGTTGTTGTTACCCAATGATTTTCTATGTTCCATTGAAAATGGGTAATGATAAAAGTGAATATTTCTACAGTCTTAAATTCTACTAAAGTGAGCATCTTAAAGGAAATAGACTAAGGCATCCAAGATAATTTGATTGTTTTAATGTTTCTTTCAAGCAAAAACCCTGTATGAACCATCTCTATCACATTCATGCACGTTGTAGTAATAAATTTCCTCTATATTTTTGGCTCGCTACATACTGTACATTCCTTTTGTACAACTAAAAGTGAAAAAGTACCAATGGTGAAAATCAAATTCAAAACTTTAATACACGAATATTAGGAAGGAAACATTACAGTATATCTTTTATCAACATGAGCATTTGCATCCTTTCACACATTTCAACATTGGCAATTCAACTTGTTAATAATCTCTCCAAACATTCTCATTACTGGCTGTTTTAATGACATTGTTATGAACACGTAATGTTCGTCGCTTCACTCTCCACAAAAAAAAAATATATGCACATTTTGGCTTGGCTATCCGAGTAGTAGAATACGTGCCACATATTTTAAATGATAAAAATAAGTATATCTCATAATAAAGATTACATAATCACTTTTACAAGAAGGGTAGTATGAAACAAACTTTTTAACTAATTTTTTTTTAAATTTTTGGAAAGCCAAGTTTGTGTGCGAGAGTTCATCAGAGTGAATGAGATAGAAAGTTCTTAAGCATAAGCTTATATCTTGGAAGTGCTTCCATGGGTGACTAAGAACTAACTTTACATTTCCAGAATAAGTTAGAAAATGAAACTATGAGTAAATTTGTTTTACATTGTCTAATGTAATGTACTCGACAATCTTAACCAGATAAGGATTTGTATTTTTTTGATTGATTTTAATTTTTAACTCACCACGCATATGCATGTGTAATATCAACACCAGACTTTAAAAAATTGAACACCCGACATTATGCATACAAGAAGTCATGATAAAGTGGCCCAACACACGAATCTGAATATATAGGAATTGACGACATTTTGGTCAATCATAGACCATCAGACTTGATAATAATTTCAACACCAGACTTAACCATTTTTAACACCTCTCTCACCCCATTAAAAAAAAAAATCCTATGAGCTATTGTTATGCAAAATGCAGTTTATTAGAAAATATAAACTTGTTATTCAGTTGCCACATTACATCCTAACTATACCAGTTTCCTGACTTTATGTTCACATGGCTTGTATATATATTGGATGATGTATGTAATTCACTCCTCATAGTTGTATGTTGACCATTTATAAACATCTCAAGTCAGGGCACAACTCAGTGTAATCTAGATACAGTATATTATAAGAATGTGTACTAGCATATTTGCAGTGTAGATAACCCTGGTGGAAGTAAATAGTATTATAGAATGGTAGTTTCATTGGCCTCTAAGAAGTTTATCTTAGATGGTTACTACTGGTGGACAAAGGTGTCTTAATACAAATAATTTGTATTATTTCTCTTGTACATGGGTCAAAGTTTGAAAAGGGCAGATTTGGCTTATGATCAGGCTTTTTGGCTTACACATTATCTTTTTAAACAAAAAATTACTGAAAACAGAATAAGATTGGCAAGTCCAAAATGCACAGTAAAATGACGTAAAGTTTGAATGTAAAAATAGTCAAGTTTCGGATGATGGCCTCTTGCCGTGCAACACAGTGTCACCTTGATATACTGTAGTTACTTGTTTTAACATTCTAGGGATCTTACTAATTTTAGTCTTTAGCTTTGTTGGAGTAATAGTAATAACACCTTTGTCTAAAATATAGTAGGTTGGTGGAAGGCAAGGCTATCCCACATAAAATTCAAATGTGATTATTAAATGTAGAAGTAAAGTAATTTTGATATCAATAAGTCGGCAAGAAGATTCACTGTAAAATAAATAATTATTGTGTAAATAAAATAATCAAGTCTCATGAAAAACTAAATTTAATGTTAAATATTTAAATCCAGTTTTCACGTGAAGAAATAGTAATTCAAAATGTGGGTAGAATGTGCAAGTGCCACCCTGCTTTATATGTGAGAGAAGGCGCACTTTAGATGCGTAAGTTTTGCCTCTTAAATTTAAGGAAATGCTAATGTGGGATTTTTGCTTTCTGTCAACTTATAATTTTTGTGGGCGCTTCGAAGCCTTCACAAACAGGTGAGTTGATTTTTTCAGTGCAATCTTCTTTCAGCTGATCTAATTTTAGTTCATCCATGTTCTGTATTTGATTGTTTGCCCCTTTCTATGAGAATTTTTAAGATTTCTTATTTACTAATTGATGATTTATGAAATTTTTTGATTGATATATTTAAAATATCTCAGCTGCTTGGATTATCATACAATACAAAAATATTTTTGCTCAAAAATCATGTAAACTACTGTATCTAGTTTGTTTTAGTATGGCTGTGAGCCTCATTAAGATACTGTGGGTTTATTTATGTGATATTAAATGCCTATCTCCATTTTTCAGTTGCCATTGACCTCATAGTTCAGCACATTAGAGATATTCTCCGCCCTGGACAGGCTATCGAGGGTCAACTGTTTCAGCGAACCCGACATAATTCTGACAATTTCTTCAAGCGGCCCCATTAAGAATCCCAAAGAATTTAGGAGGTTTTATTTTGGATTATTATGGGCAGTGGTATGTCTTGTGACTGTTCACTCCTATTTAAAAGTTTATTGACTTTTTGTGATAGAATGTGAGTGCTTTATGATCATACAAATTAAATATTTAAAGAAGTTGAATAGAAAATGTGACTGATGGTGTAAATATGTCAACACCTTCATAATGTTGACAAATTTGAAAGTCATGTTCTGTCTCGACTTTAAATTATAGTCATATCTTAAACATTTGAGTGAGATAATTTATTTCTTTTGTTCTAAGCATATATAATAAGTCAGTAACGTATTTTATTGGATAATGCATTTTAATAGGCTGTTGATGATGCGAAAATCATCAATAGTCTCTTGTGTGCAGTTACATATATATTTACAGAATGTCTGAAGAGTAACAGCACAATGTCTAAAGTAAAATATTGGACCAATTTTAGTGGAACTTTCACAATCTCTGGTAACAAATTGAAGGTTTCAAATGGAACACTTGAATATATTTTAGCTATGCCAATTCAGGGTCATATCACCTGTGGTAAAAGTTTACACGAGAAGGCCAAAATTGGCATTGGTAAAGTTTTGTATATGCAGTTACGATTATTGGATACAATCTTTGAGACATGTTTTAATTATACAAATTAATTTACTCAAACCCATGCAAATACAATATTTGAATGTATACAGAGAAATGAACCTAGTAATAATATTTTAAAAGTTTGTTGTTATTTATACAATTTAATTATATTATGTGCCCTACCAATTGATCTTGAAGAGTAATATATAAATATAATAGCTGCAAGCATATCACATGATGCAGGTTGTGGTGATGGAAACAAAAGACATGTTGCAAGGAAAAAAAGGTTTTCATGGGCTTAGACTGTTTTGTAAAGAAATATTAGATTTTCTGAATCTTAAAAAGGGGTGCATTTCCATTTCACTATATGTAAAATAAATACTGTAAATGATTATGTATAATATACAGTACACACATTGCTTCCTTGAAAATCCAGGCCTTCATATACATTAATGGATCCATCTACACAACAGATCAGATCTGCCCACTGGATTTCTCTCCCAAATTTGTATTACTGTACTTTGAACAAAATCTGAATTCAGGAGGTACATGGTAAAATCTGGCTCAACAGTTCACGTATATTTTTCATTAAATCGTATCTTCTTTTTTTTTCCATATTTTTGCTAATCTTCCTGTTTTATTTGTAAATATTATTCCAAATAGTGCATTTATATTTTATAAATGTTTTACAAAGTTGTACTGTACTATAAATTTTTCAGATCAGTTTGAATGTTGTTGTTTCCAAGGCATCCAGACCTATAGTGAAGGCATGCATACCGACTATATATTTTCTTTGTGAGAGGTTGAAATTCTGACCTCATATTACTTCTAGTACAGGTACATCAGGCAAATGAAAGAGAAACTTTTTTCTCTCACTCCATGGATAAGTAGGCCTAGTTATTAGAGAAATGTGTTTATGACTGGAGAGACAGGCAGCTGGCAGAAACGTATAGCATTGGCTTAAGTATTGATTTCACCTTCCCCCAACCCCCCCAAGAAAAAATGCAGATCATAGATTCTGTGAGTAAAATACTGCAGTGGTGGTAAGAGAAGATATGTAAAACACTGAAACCTCCAAAATATTAGTATTTGGATGATGATTATTAGTGGTTTATGCAGTATTGTATCCTTGGGCTGGCTGTTGGTGTTGGACAGTTAGTTTGTAGGTGAATGTAATGAACCATGGGCAACAGAACTTCAAGGCCTCTTAGTTATCAAGTCCAGCCTGTGCTACAATAAGGTAAGTGAGCTAATTTATTATTTGTATTTTTTTTTATTACTGTATTATTATTTCTGGAAGGGGCCCCCCTCAGTAACTTCCCAACCTAAGCATTAGTCCAGCCTTGCCTTTAGGAGATGCACCAAACATCTGAGAGCCAGGCGATGAGTCACAATAACGTGGCTGAAGTAGTTTGACCAGACCACACACTAGAAGGTGAAGGGACGATGACGTTTTGGTCCATCCTGGACCATTCTCAAGTCAATTGTCTTGTCTTGAGAATGACTTGAGTCAAGACAATCTACTTGAGAATGATCCAGGACGGACCGAAACGTCGTCGTCCCTTCACCTTCTAGTGTGTGGCCTGGTCAAATTTGAGAGCCACCACTGCCTGACAAGTAACAGGACCATCTGGCCCTCTACAAAGCAACGTAAGCTTGGGGAATCAAAGGATCAACCCACCAGAAAGCATAAGCCCAGCAAGACAAACCACAGTTTGTAGAAACAATCATTGCTGAGATTTTATTTTGCCCCCCTAACCCACCCTTGCTTCTTGTGAGATTAGGATTGTTTGTTGTCTGTGCCACAGGGCAACATTCATTATCTCATCTTTGCTTGTGGGGGCCTTCACCTTGGGATAAGTTGAGTGTCTTGGGCTTCTGTCTTTCCCTAGCTTGGAGTGTCTTAGCTGGTGGCACACACACTGGTTGCTTCAGGAAGCCCATTGTGGGCTCCCTGACAATAACAAGCCTAGTTGGTATGAACACACACTAGCTGCCTGTCCCCAACACAATGAATTATAAATGTCATTGTTCCCTGTGCCTCTTGTGAGTGGGGCCAGGTTCTGACTGGTCCCTGGAAGGCTATAGCTTTCCACAACTGGTGGAACCTAGTAGTATGACACACTCAAATTTTGTAACAGTGATTTCTGTGCGAGCCACTGGAGTCTCACCCAGACATTGATGTTTCATTACATTCAGCACTGGCTTTTAAGTTTTTACACATAATCCATTAGCTTTATAAGTGTTAACAGTTTAATTAAACTTTGGTCATCTATAGATGGTAAAGGTAACACACTATAACCTGACTGCTCTGTGCTGCCCTCTACGAGATGAAACATAATATCATGATTTAAAAGCAACGAGCAAAAACAGTAATATATGTCCTGCTGTAAAGTAAGTTATTATTAAGAAAATCTGGGAAATAATCAATTGATAATAGTAAAAATTAGCTATGGAGTTACTGAATTAATTTGTGAATGTCTTGTGCATACAGATAATTAAAGTAAACATTCTTTTGCAGCAAGATATAATAACTTCAAAAAAATCTTGGTTTAGGCTGTATTATATTTAATTGCTGTCCATTGATTTATTTGATATATGGTGTTGCAACACCTGGATTGTTTATATATTTTGTTTTCAAAATATGCAATGATTTTCGTGATTTTTTAAAGGTGCATACATCATTCTCAATCACTAAAGGATTTCTTAAAAGTATTGTAAATAATATTTGAAATCTTCAAACATATTTAAAAATCAAAATGTCTATAAATTTTTATATATACCTGCTAATGTGTGAAGATTTTGTGACCATATGTAAATATGATATTTTTAGTGTGTGCTATTTATCATGTACTGTACAGGTATGTTACTTTAAGTGAAGTATCGTACCTTATATCACTTAATGCTATGGAGGTTCCTTGTCCCATGATTATGTCATATTTACTTATCAGTGTCAGTCACGAATGCTCATTCTCTATTATGCAATAATCATCAGTAAATATACTCCAGGAATATCTTTGTAACAGGGAAAATTATTTCATCATTGAAATGTGAAGTTTGGTTTTTATTGCTCCATGTTGTAAATTATAGGTGTTTATTTTATTTGTAATAAAGGTTTGACAAAAATGAACTTAGAGATTGTAGCCATGTTGATTAGTGATGGCTCTTGCAAAATCCTTGGTGTGGTGCTAGTTAGATTTATCTACAAAATCCTCAGTGCTTCATCTTATAACAAACCTATCGTATTTTTTTGTACTTGCATCCCTCGGTAGCTCCTTCTAGCTTCCCCTTCACTGTAATCACTACGTGTTTTAAGTGGTGATAATCACAGCATAATCCCCCTAATGGTATGGGGAGGAGGGCTTATGGGGATCAAAGATCAACCTACTTTAGAGATGAACTGTCCAAATAATGGAAAATCACAAAGCTCTTGATCTTCTTGCAAAAATGTATTGAAAACGGCTTATTATTGAATTCGTTTTTGAACCTGTAATCTCTACAACTCTGCTGGTGTTGTGTTGTGACTATGGCACACTTTGGCCTGAGACCTATCATCTCTCATAGAGGTCCCCCACTTAACACTATCGGTGGTCTGGCGGGCGACCCGCCGGGCACTTCAAGGTAGTTCACGCGGTGCGCGTGAACTCACCACCACCCACAAATGTTTATACTCTTTTTCTGCTTTCTGACCTTAATTTTCATGATTGTGGTTCATTGGGAGTATAAAGCTCATCACTGTTTAACTCCCTAATTGTGCATCTTAACCACTGTACTGTGCAGAGGTCCCTAAGGCATTCTGAGAGTTGAGTTTTTTAATTAGGCTATATTTTAATGTCTGGACTAATTGGTACTTTTAGATGTCCTAATAACTAAAAATCCAAATAATCAAATAAAAGATAGCCAAAGTTATTATTTATTGCAATATTTTTATTTTGGTATATATTTTAACATGCATAATAAAAATAAATGTAATGTATTAATATGCAGTATTGGTTGGAAAACATTAAAATTTTTGCATTGGTACAAATAAATCTTGCCCGAGAATTAACTGATAATGGGGCAGGCAAACTGGAAATTCTTGTTTGGATAATTGGATGATATATAATATTATCCTGTCTGGATAACTTAATATGTAATATTATAAGAAAAATTAACAACTCATTCCACTAGTGAAACTCTTTGTATGTCAATACACCACAGAAAATATAAGAAACTTAATTAAGAAATAAAAAAAAAAGGAATAGGCAAGGATATTGGCATTTAGCACCCAACCCCTTCACTCCTTGGCACGTAAATGTGGTCAGCCAACAAAATCTTTAGCCTACTCATCCTCCATTAAAAATCACTTTGGTTTTTGTATACAATGTGCGCGAGTTCTTATTCTCTCCCCATATCAGGGGTACCATATCACCGGAAGATCTCACTTATTCTTTTGATGGCTTTTCTGTTGACCTGAGCTTTTGGATATTCTAGTGTCTTACTTTTTTCTTAACCATAACATGCAAACCTATGCTGAAACTACTTGAACTATCAGTAATTGAGTGACTGGAATTTCTACCAAGCTGATGAAATTTTAGTTTGTGGCTATAGTGTACTGTATAATATAGTTGTGTGAAGACAGGTGGGCTGTATAACTTTACTGATTTGCTAGTTTATTTTGATAATAATTACTTCTCATAAGCTCATGCTTTGTATACTTTATAGACACTTTTCTCATTATCTATATCTTATTTTCTCTTGAACCCTCAACTTTTTCATTTGAAGAAAAAGCATATGCAATCCTGTTTCTTCTGACTTGCCGAAATTTTATATTTTACTGGGGAAACCTTTTTTGTTATTTTTTATTTGATGGTGAGCCCTAAATTATTTTCCTGTAGCTGATTAGCAGAGGAGTGGTCATTCCTTTTCTCTCTCTGATTGTACAAGCAAAAAATTAATACTGTATATGAAATACATAAACTAATTTGAACCTTTCTTGTGAAATTGGTTTTAGATCTTTCTGGAAGAATTGAAAAACAGAGGTGCAACAAGTACTCTGAGAGAGAACTCTATCAACATCAGAGGTCCGAGACTGTTCAACACGCTTCCACTACACATAAGGGGCATAACTGGCCGACCCCTCACAGTGTTCAAGAGAGAACTGGATAAGCACCTCCAAAGGATACCTGATCAACCAGGCTGTGACTCATACGTCAGGCTGCGAGCAGCCGCGTCCAACAGCCTGGTTGATCAGTCCGGCAACCAGGAGGCCTGGTTGACGACCGGGCCGCGGGGACGCTAAGCCCCGGAAGCACCTCAAGGTAACCTCAAGGTAAGGTAAGGGTCTCCTAGATAGCTGCACATAGTTATAGCAGTGACACTGCCAAGTCTTTAGGAATCACACCAGGCTTCTGAGACCCACCCTTGTCTACCAGTAGCCAGGTTAATCTGAATCCAAGGAAAAAATAGAAAGGTATAAGCACATCAGGACAGGCAACTACTTGAAAAAAAAAATGTAACTGAGGAAAACAAAGCAATCAGTTATTTATGCTGAGTAAACACACATTATCCATGATGCACCTGGTGCATCATGGTTAGGTGTATGGTACTCATATCTTTAGAAGCACATCAACAAACTGGAAAAAGTGCAAAGACATGCAACTAAATGGTTCCCAGAACTGAAGGACAAGAGCTGCGAGGAGAGGTTAGAGGCATTAAATATGCTAAAACTAGAAGAGAGAAGAAAAAGAGGTGATATGATCACTACAGTCAAAATAGTAACAGGAATCAATAAAATTAATAGGGAAGAATTGCTGAGACCTGGAACTTCAGGAACAAGAGGTCATAGTTTTAAACTAACTATACAAAGCTGTCGAAGAAATATAAGAAAATTCACCTTCACATACAGTGGTAGACGGTTGGAACAAGTTAGGTGAGAAGGTGGTGGAGGCCAAAACCGTCAGTAATTTCAAAGTGTTATATGACAATGAGTATTGGCTCGGAAGATTGGACACCACAAGCATAGCTCTCATCCTGTAACTATACTTAGGTAATTACAGTACTTAGGAAATTACCTGACTGCCCCTAAACGACAGCCCAGACCACCTGGTGCCTCTGCCAGCCTGGTGCATCCTGGGTTGTTTGTCTCTACTGGATCCACATTGTGCTTCATGCTTTCAGTTAAGTGGTGTCAAGCATTCTTGAAATATTTCATTCTGTGTGGCATTGCTTTTTGTTCCATTTCCTGCTTCATGTTTATTTTTGCGCTACCCTTGTTGCCCATGCCCTGTATTTACATTTTGCTCCAGCTATGTGTCAGGGTTATCTTCCCTAGTAGCCAGCTTGCATCTCCATTGCCTCACTCTATTTATCTATTCTGATGGGCTAGGGTTTTCTCCTCTACAAGCTGTCCTCTCACTACCAGGTAGTGTATGGGTTTGCTGCACACTGTAAAACCTGCTGATTTTTTTTTTCAGGGATATTCCTGTGCGGGCCCTAAACCTCTGGCTGGCCCACTAAGTGTTGCTTGTTTCTGTTTTACTTGGGCGGAGTATAAGTTTTTATGACTCGTATGGTTGCTTCAGTAAGATTTTGCCATATGTTTAACAACTTCTGCACTGTTGAATCTAAGTTGAAATCTTAATGGGTTTGTAGCTGTGCACTGTGTTAGATAAAACCTGCTGATGGGGAGTGATTGTAGTTAATTGTGTGCTTGTGTGGCTTTTGTACCTGGCTCTGTCCCTTGTGCAGTCGAGTCCTATGCTTTAGCCAAAAGTGCTCTTATATCACATAAGTGATTGTTCTTGTCAATGACTGCATACTCATTCCCTCACTGAGGGAATGAGAAGATGGTGAAGGCCAAAACTGTTGGTAATTTCAAAGCGTTATATGACAAGTAATGTCCTGTATTCCCACTCTACACTCTTTGAGTGTAGCTCTCATCCTGTAGCTACACTTAGGTAATTACTGAGTTTTACAGGTTGGGAATTGTGTTTGATCAGTCGATATGCTTCCCCTGCGTCTGGCCTACCTGCAAGAAGTGCCATACCAACCAGATTGTAGTGGATGTGAGGGCCTGTTGGACCAAGTTATCACGTCAAACCTAGCCCTAGGCTGGGATGGAGAGTATAAAAACTCCCAAAATCCACTCCAGGTATATATATACTGTTATTTATGTCTTCTCACTTTTGGGTTTCTTCCTTGGGGAACTACTGAGGCAGCTCATCCAGAAATAAAGTATTGAATGTAATGAAATACCATTTTTTTGGTGGGCTCAACAGTAGCTTTCCATCTTATTTATTTATTTATTTTATTTATTTGTATACTGTATATACAAGAAGGTACATTGGGATTGTGAGGATACATAATACAGGCATACCTCAGTTTAAGAGTTTAATTGGTTCCTGGAGACGCCTCGTATTCCGAAAACTCGCATTCCGAAGCTAATTTCCCCATAAGAAATAAAGGGAAATGAATTAATCCGTTCCTGACTACCCCAAAAACCCCACATCAAACTAAATTTTTATACCTAATTCATCTAAATAAACCTACAAAACTATGTTCCATTTATTACTTACCTTGCTGTTGAATGCTGTAGGCGTATGGAAGATTGTGAGGAGGGGGGAGGAGGAGAGGAGTTACTGTTTGGAAGGGGAGTCCCCTTCTATTATCACATCAGGCAGTGAGGACCTTTCTGGTGTGCTCTCCCTGGGACGTTTTATCTGAGTGCCACTAGGTCCTGGTTGAGGCTCATTGCTCGATTTCCTCACCACAAATCTGTCCATGGAAGCTTGCTTTTCCCTTCTTCGCAAGCTCTCTCTGTAGTAAGGCATCACATTGTCATTGAAAAGATTAAGACAACGGCCTACTACAGCTTTCTCTGGGTGAGTCTTTTCAACAATTGTTTGAATCTCTTCCCACATCTGACACACCTTAATTACTGCAGAAGGGACATTCGCTGCTGCTGCTGCCACCTCCTCCTCCACTGCAGAATCATCCGCTGCTGCGTTGGCTTGCTGTTCCTGTTGAAGGGCTAGGAGTTCTTCGGTGGTCAGTTCTTCGTTGTGTTCTTCCACCAACTCCTCCACATCATCACCATCCAATTCCAAGCCCATTTGCTGGCCTAGACTAACAATTTCCTCAACAATAGGCGCATCCAGCCAGAGATCAGGGTTCTTTGAGTCACTTCTTGCCAGGCTTTGTCAATGAGTTTTAAAGCACTACAAATGTTAAAATGCTGTTTCCAGAACTCTTTGAGGGTGAGGTTTGTGGCTTCAGTCACTTGAAAACATTTCCGGAAAAGTGCCCTTTCATAAAGTTTCTTAAAATTCGCTATGATTTTCTGGTCCATAGGCTGAATTAGAGGAGTGGTGTTAGGAGGAATGAATTTAACTGTGAGGAATTTATTGTATCTGGGCAACAAATCATCTTCCAAGCCTGGAGGATGAGCAGGAGCATTGTCGAGGAGAAGCACAGCTTTGAGTGGCAAATGTTTCTCCTGCAGATATTTTTCTATGGCAGGGCACAGCACTTCAATCACCCACTCCGAAAAAATAAGCCTAGTCACCCATGCTTTTTTATTAGACTTCCACGTCACACACAAATGGGATTTCTGCACTTTATACTGTTTGAAAACCCTTGGATTTTCAGAATGATACACTAGCAAGGGTTTAATTTTCAAATCGCCACTCGCATTTGAACACAGCACAAGCGTAAACCTATCTTTCATAGGCTTGTGTCCTGGCAAGGATTTTTCCTCCTTGGTAATGTATGTCCTCTTAGGCATTCTTTTCCAAAACAGTCCTGTTTCGTCACAATTAAACACTTGTTGCGGTAGGTATCCCTCAGCCTCTGCAAACTCTTTAAATTTGTCAATAAATCGTCCAGCGGCTGGTTTGTCTGAGCTGGCTGCCTCCCCATGCCTTGTAACACTATGGATACCACTTCTAAATTTTTCAAACCAGCCCCTGCTTGCCTTAAACTCTTTCGTATCTGCATCACTCGTTGCAGGGGTATTCTTTAGAAGGTCTTCGTGCAACACCCTGGCTTTCTCACAAATAATGGCCTCCGAAACACTATCACCCCTTAACTCCTTGTCGTGTATCCAAATTAATAACAACTTTTCCACTTCTTCAAGTATTTGTGGTCTTTGTTTCGTTATTGTTCTTACTCCTTTTGCCACTTTAGCACCCATAATCTCATTTTTCTTCTTAAGTATAGTGCATATTGTTGATGTGGCTTTGTTGTACTGCCTACAAAGTTCAACAACACGTGTACCGTTCTCATGCTTCCGAATGATCTCTTGTTTCTCCTCTATTGTCATCCTCACATGGGCTTTCTGGCCTTTATCCTTACCACTGGCTTTCTTGGGACCCATGGTGAGATATATAATAACAAATTGTATAGACAAATCACCAAAAATCCAACAAAACACTGAAAATGCGCGAGAAGAATTGATGTGGGGGTAGTCACTGAGCGCGAGACAATGATAAACTGAGGGGCGGAGGGGCGACGATCGCCGAACCACCACGCACTAGGTCGGCCTGTACACTTGCTCATTTTTTTCGAGTAGTTACTCGTTTTGATGAGCTTATAATTTCTGGTGGGTTTTTCTCAGCTTTGGGTTAATCTCTTACCCCAGGGTCGTCCTTGCCCCAAAGAGATAGCCAGATTCTGGTTCTGGCTACTGAGAGGCACAGTTGGATTATTATTGG